GTTGAAGTACTTTCACTTTTTATTATTATTATTTTTTATATTTTCTATATTAAAGAAAAGAATAGAATATAAAGACGTCTTAATCAGTCATAATTAAGTTTAGAAACTAAATACTGAAAATATCCAAGATAAAAATTAGACCACTTATAGTAAGATCTAGATCAGCATCTTGAGTAGCTTAATAGAATGGGCCTCACAGCCTACAGTAATTGGGCCTATTATTTCCTACAAACCTATACTTATATTTAAATTAATAAATTCGCGTTTCATAAATGGTTAGACTGATATGAGTTTCAGAAATCTGTAGAGATGAGATAAATGTTTAGATACTAATAATGACTTAAATACAGTTTAATTTACATTCTGTATTTACATAAAATAATTTTAGATTGTAGTTTTTTCTGTTGCAAACTTTGGTTTTCATTAAGTATTTGTTTAACAATGGTAACATCATCTCTGCAGATTAAAATAAATTAATGTATTTTATGTTATAGGGCATGCACTAATTACAACTTTAAAATTTAATAGAGTTGATATACATAAACATGCATTCATATATATCATTCTTTAACCTTACTAGAATCATATAATCAACTTAAAGATACTTAAAACAATCAATTAGTAAACTAATTATACATGTTAGAATACGGATCACGTAATTTAACTAAGTGATGATATACTCATCCAATTGCATAAATTACCCGATTAGTTAAGATGTAGGCCTTGTTAATGAATTACTTACTAAATTTATGCTATTGAAATAAGGTAGAGGAATTATTTTGGATACTGCGATGATTTAGAATAGAAATACAGTTCATAATACTTTTATATAGCTGTTTAGTAATCTAAATTTACACTAAACCGGTTAAATATGCAAATATTCATAAAAAATTTCATCGATATTTGTCTTTTTCTACTATATTTATATCAATAATTTATATTTAACTAGTTGATAATTATACAAATCTATAAAAATACAGAAGAGTTAACAGAATTAAGCATAATCTAGTTGTTGATCTAGTTTACATTAACGAGTTACACGGATCTCTTAACCAGTTCGTTACTCGAATTAAGCTAATATTTAAAGAAAAGTGAGAAAGGGTTCATGTTAAATATCATACACATGTCAGAAACAAACTCTTACCTGTACCTAGTACACGTGGTGGTTGTGATAGGGAGCCCCAGGTGTGTGCGAGTTGTGTGTACAGTGGCTCAGTTCAGAATACAACACTGTCATCCAGATCAATAGACTCCACCCAACTGGCGTGTCAGAACCACGGATATCGCCATATCCTTCACAGGAGTCATATGGTAGAGCACGACGACTGCTGATTGGACGGAAGACATTCAGATGTCCACCCACCTGACTTTAACCCCATCTAAAGTAAGTTATACTGGTCAAAACCTGTTTATATAAATCGATATCTAATTATCCTAATCCCACTAGAATTTAATTTTTCTTAACAAAAAATTTCATATACGCAAAAGGACCGCGTATATATTTATAATACGAATATATTTTTATTTTAGGAAATTATATTTATATAATATTAATCTTAATAGAGTACATTACAGCAATTAAATTAAAAAAAAATATATATATATAAATATTCTCTTCTAAATTATATTTTCCGATATAAATTTCTAATAAATTTATTTTAAATATTATCTTCCAATTTAATATCTATATGTTTAAAATGTGTAAGGATATTGTGAATGACTTATTTAATGTATAAACTAGAGGTGGCTTATTTTGTTTATTGGACATCGCCTTGTATCTTTTGTATAAAAATATAGAAGTATAAATGTATAAAACCGTTGTATAAAGGTATAAAACCGTAAGCGGCTAACTCTAAATTTTGCAGTTTTTCAATAATGAAGTATTCTTATTATGTTCAACACGTTCTATTTGGAACCATAAGCAAATATGTAAAATTCCAAACGATTACATTAAAATTGTCTACCAAAAATTTGCTATTTTGTTTGTGTAATTTTCAAATTCCGTTTTCTGAAAATTACGGTTTCACACTTAGCCGCTCGTTGTTCTATACCTACGATTTATAAAGCAAAATTGAATTTTCCTAAGGGTAAAGTGTAGCCTATTTCAAATATATTTATGTATTTTCATTTAATAAGAAAAATATCTTTTGTATAAACAATAGCCCAAACACTTCGCTACTAATATGGGATTTATATAAATACATTTCTATTTCTATAAAGCTTTAAAGAGGACAGACATTATTTGAAGATAGAGAGGAAAATTACGGATGAATGCATCGTGTATTGTATAATATATCTTATAGAATATTAAAAAAAGTGCAACGTAGGAGAGTTGAAACAGTATTTGATCACGAATCTAACTGTAAATTCGGTGTTTTGTAATTTAAAAATGAAATAAAAATAAATACATTTTAGTTTTCGATGATCTTTTTCATATAGTTTAGTTATCAGCATTGTTTAATGATAAAAATCTATCATCTATAATAAATGTATAATTGGAACCTTTCCCAAAATCATAAGCACGATAAGTCATTCGGTATATCATAAGCTTCATAAAGAAAAAAGAAAATATTCAAAATAATTGGGCAAAACTAATTTCATTAAAATATAAAATACTTTATTCTTGTTTTTACTATATTTTACAAAATAAATTTTTATTATAAATAGTGTAGTTCATTATACTACAGTATTATAGGTAAGTTAACCTATATTATGGTTAGTGTATTGTTTTAAACAAATTAAGAACTGCAATATATGCTATGTAATAAATAAAAATGTATGCAATTCTAAATAAATATTGATTAATTTTTCTATTTTTTCTTAAAAATAATAAATTATATATTAATATCGCAATTCATCCCCTTTATTTTTAGAAAATGCTTTATATTCTTTATACTGTTTGTCTCTTTCATAACAATTACATCTACAGAAACCTTTTTGATTTAAGTATAGACTTTTGAAGTAGTTTAAATGGAGAATATCATATTTTTATAGCTCTACTATAAGAGTCGGAGAGATGAAAAGCTACATTCTTATACTACTTCAGAGCTGACCATTAAAAATTAAAAGAGTAAACTGTAATTGATTTCTCAACAGTAAACAGTTTACAGCACACATGCAATGTTGAAAATTACAAAATTTCTGGCTAACAAAACAAATTAATATTATAAAAGAAAAATACGAGCGTCCATATNATATTTTAATATTAAAATAATTAATCGTAGTATTTTTTTTATAATTGAAATTTATTTTGCTCTCCTTATATTAGTGAACGTTTCTATGAGCAAAATAATATTTTAAACTTGATTTAATCTATTCTAAATAAGTTTAGAACAGTAAAAATTAGAGATTTCACAGGAATGAGTAAAAACAATTTTACGGGGTTTAATTTAATGTCGGGATTTATTCTTAAAGGTAATAATTTAGATTAATTAAGTTGATAAATTGCAATCATTAAAATACAGATTAGCATGTAAATTGTGATATTTATTATATTATATTGACGCGATAATAGCCGCTTAATTGATCGGATAGTAGGCAACAAAAAGTCAACTGGATCTAAATAACTTTTAAAAAAATATATATTGAGACAAGTGCGACTCTATTAAAACTCTATAGGTGGGATATAAATTTAAATTTTTAATATCTAAATCAAAGCGGCGATTTGTATACAAAAACAGGTCTTTGTGGGTCGAAGTTGATGCGTAATATCGAAGGGGCTTGAGTGCATTCTATAAATCACAATAATTATTAACACGATGTGACCTCTAAGAAGGAGAAGCAGGCATGGTTCAAGAGGCTTTCTTATTGGTCTTTTAAGAGGGACTAACTCATAAATTTACATGGACAGTTATTTCATATATCGTTTAAAGGAAAAATAATTGTAGAAAGTATAATTAGTTTGCAAGGTATTAAAGAAAAAAACCGAAACAGTCTAAACCCAGTTCGTGTCTCGTTAAATTTAAAATTACTAAGACCCGTGAGACCCTTGTATAGGAAAAAAAGGGACCAAAACTTTCTTTTTTTTAACGCTTTATAATTCTTATCTTTCCTAATTCTGCGACCATCTTTCTTGTTTTAATTTATTGTTGCCCATTAATATATCCAAAGTAAATTAGACTTGAAAAGACATTATTTTTGTCTATTTATACTACCGTAATTTAACTGTTCTTCGAAGATTTATCATCTTTAGACATACAAGTATAGGCGTAGGTAAAGAAAAATAAGGATATATTGTTGCATTAGATGGGCCTATATAAAAATAAAAATTAACGAGTCTTTTAAAATTCCGTTTGAAATTTAAGTTTTTCCGTCTGTGTTAATTTAAATTAGTATTATTTTTCTTAATGTAAAATAATAGACATGTTGAATAAAAAATATAATACAGGATTAATAATAAGTGATTATTATTTTATTAGTCATTATCCATGATATATAATGAACCAGCAAATTGTGGGTTTAATGAGACACAAAGACAACTTTGTAATGATGACATAGAGAAAAAATATGCAGAGTTAGAACAACTTGATCCATTATTAATTTCTCTGTTTAATATAAGCTATATGTATATATATCCTTTAAAGTGTTATAAGGTACATTACTGATAGAGAGGTGTCATTATAAGCGAGATCGACGATAACATCAAATCGTTTCCTTCACGAAAGCTTAAAATTGGAGCCTTGTTTTAAGATGGAAAGTCGAAGAATGATTAAGAAAGTAAAAAAAAAATCGACAACCGAGTTTGGGTTTCTTCTAGTTTCTCCTCTGTCCATTAGTGACTTGACCACGCCCAAAGAATTGACTTCTAACGAGACATACACATCTTCCCCCTTGCTTTCCATGTCCGGGTGAAAAGTTCAGATAAGGTATTTCTTAAGTGTCTACAAATCTAATTGGCTGGCCGTCTGGTTGCGATAAATCACGTGATAAGTTAAGTGTAAGATAGAAACTGAAAGTTGTCTCCTTAAGATTTTTATGTGAAGACTATCGTCTTCGGAGACATACGTCCTGTCAGATAGGATTGAACTATTGAAACTCGTATCTCCAGACAGGTGAGTTATTACTCGTTGATGTCTAAACGGATGCCACCCTTGGAATCTTAAACTTATTTCGAATGGATCACATAATCTGTCAGTTTAATTAGCCGGATCTCTTTGCATAACTTGCAGATTAGAAGGCATCTCACAAGAAATGTGTAAAAACTAAATAACTCCTGTAGCCAATAAATAAATTATTTTTTATTGTTTAAAATTTTAGACTTGTAATCAGCTGAATAAATATTTCTTAATTAATTATATAAAACCTTAACTTGGTAGCAATTATATTTTATATTAAGTCAAAATGTTTATTATTAATTGAAATATAAAAAAGAAAAATAAGCTTCAGGTCAGCAACTCGAAATGGTTTTTAAAAATAAGTATGTTTAGATAGTTTATATTAAAATTATATAAAAATAAAGATATAATATTGAAAATATACCTTTAAGTAATATAAAAATCATTAAAAATACTTATTACAGGCTATTAGAAAAGAATTTAAAAATTCCACCAAGAAATTGTAGGCCTACTTAGTAGATCAGCATCGAAGTTCAAATCCATTCATCTATACAATATGTAGTCCCATCAGAACACTAGGAGCATTATGTTGAAGAATTGTACTGAGAAATTGCCTAGACATAATGACAGAATCGTATCTAGTAGAGAGATGAAGCTCCGAGATGACAAACGACAATTGTAGTACATTGCCCATAACCCCATTACTAACGGGTCAAGTGACTATACTGGATGTTGGGAGTTGAAGTGACAGGTAATATGAGTTCCTCTGTCTATTGCAGTTGTTGAATTGTTGGGGGTCAAAGATGGTACGTAACCTAATGCTGAAAAGAACCATAAATTTTATGGTTACAGTTCACGCCTACTTTTGACATATCGTTTATAGTTGGTGTAGGGAGTCATCTTTTTTAACGCTTCTCTAAAATGAATATGCAATAAAAAAGATTGTTTCTTACGATAAGATGTGAATTGAATTTAAATAACAATATTAAGTTCTATTAGGCGTTATCTTCACCATAAGTGAATCAGTTAAGTCGCTTTATAAAACAGCCTTAAAATTATTAGGGAATCCCCTGTTTCTGTTTGAAGTAATGTACAGTACAGTACAATACTGGTCCAAAGCAAATGATTTAAGCATGATAAATAGACTCCAAGGCAGAAGTTCGAATGCTTTAATTGTGTAAAATATATCTTTATAGATCAACCACGACAATTTACCGAAATAATGTCTTTAATATAAAAAAAAAGAAGGTAAAGTTTATTCTTACAATAGTAATGTCAGTTTTAAAATTTCTATAGTTATTATATTAATATCTATAGTAATCACAGACTCTTGCCTATTTATCAATCTTGATGTATTGAATGTGAATTCAAGCTATCATGATCGATAAAGAATTATGAAAGTTAATTTTTATCTTATCATTAACACATTCTTTATGACATTTCCATTTAACATTGTAATACATCGTTGAGTGTTTAAAATATAATTCATATATTTATAACTAATGAAAATCTAAGAAAAACTTTCACATATTCTTGTAAATTTATTAAAAACTAATCCATTGCTTAAAATTTTATGTATTTTTAAGATATATATAAGACTGATATTCAGAGGAAAATAAGGAAGATGATGATGATAACTTTATTGTTAAATTAAATACGAAACATTAAATTAATAATAATATAATAGAAAGAAATAAAATTATAATTATTAATATCTAAAAATGAAAACAACAATAAATAAATAGACTAAAAGATAAAAATGTTTATCATCTTATCCCAAGATTAGAATAAAATGATAACTTAATAAAGTAAGATAAACGATTAATTTAAAAAAATTTTAAAAAATTTTAACTATAAAACTATGTTAAATAGTCTTATTTTTTTAAATTTGGTTCTTCGAGAACAGAATTACTATTTTCGGTTTATTCCAGAGATGGATTTATTGTATGAGAATTATCATTAAAAATAACTATAGATTTTTTTTTGCTTTCTTTTTCTTCTTTATATTATTTAAACATTTTGTACCTTTAAATATAATTTTTCTTTTGCTAGACTATTGCAATTCCAAATGTTATTTTATATTTTCAAATTGTTAAAATATTCCCATTACTTTTATTCTTAACATTCTTTAAAACAATATCGTACATGGTAGCAGCATTATTACATGAAATAATCGGTTGTTTTACAGCATGAATGACAACCATCATCTTGTTTTTATTCCAACTCCTACGCATACAAGTTATATTATAATTCCCAGACCTTTGATATTCTGTAATAAAATTTAATTGCTTTTTATTAAATTACTACTTAATATTGATATAAGCAAATAACACAATTAGATTTTTATATTGATTAACATATAAAATATTTAGTTTATACATGTTATCTTAATTTCAGGTTCACTTGAAGTGTATTTGTTTTAATTACTTATAAAGTATTGTACTGTACGACAATGTATAATAATAAACCAAATTAATAAAAATTAAGGAAAATTGAGTAAGATAAAGGATTAAGTTCCGTCATACAAGTCCATCTCATCTAATACTAAACATGACATTTATTACACAAAAAATTGAATAAAATTAATTCATAAAGCAAATTTTGCTATCGCTCATGCAATAATTTTGAATTACAGAATTAAATATTGAACTAAGTAAATTATTAAGAGAGAGACGACTAACATTAGATTCTCAAATCGAACAAAATTAACAAGATTAACCATAATTTTGTCGATAATTTCTGAAATTAAAGTTGTAATTCTTAGTTATCGTATTCTTATATTTGTTATAGAAATTACATGTCAAATACTAATAACACGCATTCACTTCACAAAAAAAGAAAAAGATAAGGAATTTTCCTTTCATTTCACTCATCAACATCTATTAATAAAATAAATTTATTAAAATTATTTTCTAACAATTATTATTATATTATTTTATTAGTCATTATCCATGATATATAATGAACCAGCAAATTGTGGGTTTAATGAGACACAAAGACAACTTTGTAATGATGACATAGAGAAAAAATATGCAGAGTTAGAACAACTTGATCCATTATTAATTTCTCTGTTTAATATAAGCTATATGTATATATATCCTTTAAAGTGTTATAAGGTACATTACTGATAGAGAGGTGTCATTATAAGCGAGATCGACGATAACATCAAATCGTTTCCTTCACGAAAGCTTAAAATTGGAGCCTTGTTTTAAGATGGAAAGTCGAAGAATGATTAAGAAACTAAAAAAAAATCGACAACCGAGTTTNAATCTAATGTTATTAATATAAAAGATAGATTGAAGTTAAAACAAGATGTATTATTTTTATCTATTAAAATAATATTATTATTAATATATTCTTATTTTAACTGATCACGTTTTGACCAAAATAACTTATAAATTTTCGAGTCTAGATTGAAATATGATGTCCTAAATAAGGCCAACCGAGAATTGTTTGTACAGTACATACTCTTGAAGGTTACTGGGTCTCGTGATTTTTTTTTTTATGTAAATATAAAAATTATTTATATTTTTATAAAATGAATGGTTTATACATTGGAATCGTCCAAAAATAAATAGGCCTATATAAAGGCTTAAGAAGAAAACTCATAAATCTTTGTACCGAGGCTATTCGTTTCGTGTATATTGATAAAATCAAAAATATAAAACATAAAATTATCACCTACTTGATTAATAGAGTGAAATGAATTAATTCTATAATCTATAAAATTTTATTATTTAAGTCTTTACGTTTGTTGAATATTGTAATACAAGAAAAATAAATTTTTATAACAATAAAACAATTTCATTTTGTTTTATTTTAACCTATTAAAAATGATCTTAAAATTTTTAATAGTGCAAGTATAAAATTTACATATAATTAATTATGTTTTATAGAGACTTTTTTTTATAAGGACCGCAATGTAGAATATAAATCAACTTATACATGAATTGATAGTAATACGGGCTATATATAGGTCTAAGTAAGATAAAGGCCTAAATAAAATATGCATAGTTGGAATTTTAAGCAATGATAAATGATTTTTATGAAATTACAAGTCATCTTAATATAAAATCACTTCTATACTCGTCATATAAAATAAAATAAATATCATTACGTTACAATAACTCTTACTTGGTTCTGCCATTTTTTTTCGTAACCGAAGAATCTCATTTGTTTTTTGCGTGTAATTTTGAATTAGGATTTATTTATTTTTAAGTAAAAATTTGCATTTCAAACCAACCAAAAAACTCAATAATTTTCAAATAAATTGCATTGAAAACATTTTTACTATCAATCTTTACATATATTACACTAAAAATAAACTTTTGCACAACGCAGTAATGAATTACTGAATTATGTAATAATACCTGGTTCTTCGAGAACAGAATTACTATTTTCGGTTTATTCCAGAGATGGATTTATTGTATGAGAATTATCATTAACAATAACTATAGATTTTTTTTGCTTTCTTTTTCTTCTTTATATTATTTAAACATTTTGTACCTTTAAATATAATTTTTCTTTTGCTAGACTATTGCAATTCCAAATGTTATTTTATATTTTCAAATTGTTAAAATATTCCCATTACTTTTATTCTTAACATTCTTTAAAACAATATCGTACATGGTAGCAGCATTATTACATGAAATAATCGGTTGTTTTACAGCATGAATGACAACCATCATCTTGTTTTTATTCCAACTCCTACGCATACAAGTTATATTATAATTCCCAGACCTTTGATATTCTGTAATAAAATTTAATTGCTTTTTATTAAATTACNTACGTTTGTTGAATATTGTAATACAAGAAAAATAAATTTTTATAACAATAAAACAATTTCATTTTGTTTTATTTTAACCTATTAAAAATGATCTTAAAATTTTTAATAGTGCAAGTATAAAATTTACATATAATTAATTATGTTTTATAGAGACTTTTTTTTATAAGGACCGCAATGTAGAATATAAATCAACTTATACATGAATTGATAGTAATACGGGCTATATATAGGTCTAAGTAAGATAAAGGCCTAAATAAAATATGCATAGTTGGAATTTTAAGCAATGATAAATGATTTTTATGAAATTACAAGTCATCTTAATATAAAATCACTTCTATACTCGTCATATAAAATAAAATAAATATCATTACGTTACAATAACTCTTACTTGGTTCTGCCATTTTTTTTCGTAACCGAAGAATCTCATTTGTTTTTTGCGTGTAATTTTGAATTAGGATTTATTTATTTTTAAGTAAAAATTTGCATTTCAAACCAACCAAAAAACTCAATAATTTTCAAATAAATTGCATTGAAAACATTTTTACTATCAATCTTTACATATATTACACTAAAAATAAACTTTTGCACAACGCAGTAATGAATTACTGAATTATGTAATAATACCTTGTAAATATCTTATATAATTTTTGAATATTTATTTATTTATTTATTTACAGGGAATGAATATAGTGATTTACATAATAAAAGAAATGATGTTTTAGTTATGCATGCGGAAACGAAGACAATTTAAAATTTTTCCTGTACTAAAATAGTCAATAGAGGAAAAAAGTAGTGTTTTAAAGTGTATAATTATTTTGTTTATAATTTTTTAATATTAATATCTCGATTAAAAATTTATCCACCATTTAATATTTATAATATTAACATATTATCGAATAATATTCAAATGAAGAAGGAATGAAACCAATTAAAGGACTAAAACAGATATTGAAAGAATGTATGTACTTTAATAAGCGTATTAAATTATTATAATTTGTAAATAAAATAGATTTAATAAAATTATTATTTAATAATTTTATTCGTTTCCTTTCTATTTTATAATATACAAATAAATTAATTGCAAAATTGCTTTAAAAATATCTCATATCTACGTATATTTTTACGAGGTAGATTCGACTTTATAAACTACTTATTCGTAAATTTTATGGTAAAGATTTAAATAAATAATCGAATTTTTAAATAAGAATATGTTTTGGATTATTGTCGAACAAGATGCAAGTTAAATATGAGCAAATCAACTAAAAAATTAGATCTAATCGTTCCCCATTATAGCATATTAGATATTTTAATAACAAAATTTAAGAAGTCAATTTATAATTAAGACATGGGAATATTATGTTATAAATAGTAAATTATATATTGCTATTAATCTGTACAAGTATAAAATTAATTATTTAATGCACCGCTGTAATGATTATTTAATGATTTTTAAGTAAAATTAAAGTGGATACAATGTACTGTGAAGTATTATTCTCATATTAATTGCATTACCCTGATATAAATGCAAAACAGTTGTTTATATGGGAGGTATATAAAATCAGAACAACTCTATAATTTATTTAGATATCAACTCGTTTTTTTCCAACTATATACAAAGAATATATTTATTTGTTTTTATTTTTTATTTTTTTAAGTCGATTCTTGTCACTTTGAAGGTAAGACTGCCATTTATTTAACAGTACGAACTTGATCAAGATTATCCTCTTGAATTTCCAGAGATAAAAATTCTGATTACGACAGTCTTTCGTTTTAAACTCAATTAAATTTATTTAAACAATAGCAGTTTTTTTTTAAGAAAAAAAAAACTTTTTTCAGTAAATATAAAGTATGTGAAGATCTAAATCGCTTCGAAAATGATGTTATATGATGACACGTTAAATAAAAATAGAATGCATTTTGCATTTAAAATATCCTTGTAACAAATGAGATTTGATTGATTAAATATTTGATTAATTGTATAGCATCATAATGCATAATATGTTGAAACGAGATAGGTCGGTTGATTTACATTATAAAATATGAAGCTGCAAGAAAAACTTTCATTTCCTTAAAATTCCAATAGAGAAAATGCCATTCGAGCTCATTTTCTCACGAAAATACCGATGTAAATAAGTTCGTTTTTTGTTTTTTTCATGATTTAAAATATAATTAACATTCATCTTTTTTGACAAAGACCAGTCAACTATTTAATTTTTATCAGATAACGAGTTTTATTCTCACGGCCCATCTGTACTTATATAACTATCATTTAAAACAAGTTAAATTCATAAATACAGATCAGATTCGAATCGACATTCAAACTGGTTTGCTCTTGTTTTGATTTTTTTTGTTTAAAAAATATTAATTTAATGACTTTATTAAAATTAACATATAGTACTTTTGTTAAAATTTAATCTGGTATTACTTAGTATCTTTGTATTTAAATTGGAAAAAATGTGAGAGAGATTATTATCGTTTCACATGTTTATTTTTTATTTATGTTTTCGTACTTGTCTAATTAATCATTTAACGGATGTTGTCAAAATTAAAAGAACGGTACATGGTGAAATGAGTAAAAATATATTAAGCAAACGTAAGACGGGTTTGAAATACGAACGAGTTTTCATCGATATCACTTAATTTTTTATGATTAATTTAAATGTTTTTCATTTTGTTTAATTAAACAAAATGAAAAATTGAAATGCTTTTTAATAATATAAAACCTCAATTTATATATTAAATATACAATCGATTTATATTTCCCAAATGTACAAGCGTACGAATAGACCTTAAATATGCTAAAATCAAAATCCATTATGTGATAACTATCCACGATAATTTTCTTGAAAATGTTAATTAATCAATTTTCTATCCTGATGTATACTTAATGGATAATCGGTCCAAAGCTATTATTGTATATTCATGTCAACTGCTTGTATTCCAGGAGGTTCATTTAACTTCTGTCATATTCTGCTGATTATATCGAACGATAATTAACGAGAGGAAGATTTCAAATCTTTTATCGAGTTTTCAATCTTCTTTTATCTTTCTTCATCGCTGACCCCGAGAAAAGTGAGCAAATCAGAAAGTTCCATCATTTTTTTTTATAGAATTTATTATAGATACCAACTATTTACGTGATATAAAAAATTCTTACAAAAATGCTCATGTTTTTTTAACTTCCTAACACTAATGAGTTTTGTCATATTGTAGTGGGCCTAATATTTAGTGAGTAAAGGTGGAAAAGAAAAATCAATTGACCAAACTCGCAACTTTTAAATATTAATTTTTTAATCTTGACTTTAGAGTGTCCCGAGGGATCTAACATGAGCGATATTGAAACTTCGTAAACAAGACAGATATATTATTTAATTTAATTGTACAATTCCAAACACACTCAGTTAACAATTCATGCATAGAAATAGATTTCTTATTATACAAACGATTATACAAAGCAACCCTTTATTTTGAAATCAATAAATCAATGTAAAAGGTTACGTCATTACTCACATTTCTGTTCCGCTTGACTTATTTTGACAGATAATAAAAATTGCCAATATTATATACATATATATATGCACTTCCGTAGATAACCGACGAACAGAAATAATGAGTACATTAGTCTCTCGAAACAGAACATAATTTTGGCCACGATAAAAAACTATCTCCCCAGAGAAAACCGGATACAAATTTATATATATTATAAGAAGACTGTCGATTAACAGTGAATTTTAAATGTACAGAAAACATGTAAATAAGTCGTAAACGTGCTATACTACTTCTCAAGCAGATCTTCCTGTAATTCAATAAAACGAAGAAACATTCAATTACGTTCATCATTAAAGATGTGAAAAGAGGAAAAAAAAAAACTTTTACCGCCTTATTATGAACGAGGCCTATCGTAAATGATGTATAATAATCAATAATCAATGACAGATTACAGGCTGCTTCCAGATTATATATGATTTTAATTATATGCTGCATAGGCCTCCAACGATGTGTATAGTTCATTATTTATTCCACAGTCGGATTCAAGTCGAGTTGAGACTTTTGGTCCATTGATGACTTAATTAAGTAGTTCATATTTTAAAACTGGAATAATAAATTCCGTTTTGGGACAGTGATAAAGTTTTTAGTATAAATTAAAAGAAGACAATCGGTTATAAATTCTCTTGTTTCTTTCCAATTACAAGTGATGGATAAAGAAGGCTAAGTTTAGTGGATGAACACTTGAGGCGCAGAATATCCATCACTTTTTTCGGACAGCTTCTTCGGTTGTGATAAGAAGCCTGCAGGGAACAGCTTGTTGCCCTTCTGGTGTCACATCCATCCGGTTGTCAACTAGATTTGTCAACTGTCTTCTTTTGTAAATTATCTATCTGATCGTTTGGGTGAGTTGACATCTGTCCTGGATTCAATCATCCGAGCATTTACCATAGATGCATATTTAATCGGTACGTTACGATAACTTCATCTCTTCTACGTACGGACGAAGTAATTATAATTAATGCTTCTTAATTAATTCGACAGAAAAAAATATGATACACGCAAACGGATAGAGATTTACTCAACTCGATACCTTAATAGATCCTCCAGCATTATATGTTTTATTTTCGACTACTAATCTTCCGGATAATCCGGCTTGTTCTCTCGCTCCATAAATCTTCCTTAATCCCATAAACAAAACCAATTTATATTTTAGGAGTCATCGAATCAATTAATCTTGTCGACTGTAGCATATCAACTAGCTCCAAGTACACAACTTGACGTTATTTCAATAGAAATAAGGCGTGGCGTATTCAAAATATTATCTAAAATTAAATTTTTTATTTACTTTTACGTAAGAATCCATTATTTGCATATTTATAACCCTTAATAATTAGTTTTAAAATAATTCAAAAAGTACATGTTCGAGGAACGTGTTTAACTAGTTTGTGTTGTTCACATACTTGAATATATTAAAATAAATATTAACAACACTTCGTGGCTTTTCTTAATTTGCTCTTTTTTACTTATTATTTTTTAATACTCAAACATATATATATAAAGTAAGGAGCATACGTGCAGCCTGAACATTTATTTTTGATATGGCGATATTTGTCATGCTAGATGAAAGCATTGTTGTAGTCCAGGTGATGGATAGTAGGCATCCGAAAAGTATTGTTTTATCGAATTGATAAATTAGTTCTATTAAAAATTCCATTTATGAATAAATTATATTGATATTAATGGATGCTACACGCGGTTGTTTGAACACATTAGATGTATTAAAAAATTACGTTAAATCATTAATCAATCAAACATTCATTAATATAAATAAAAGAGCAGGTTTTGAATCTAGTTTGTAAAATAGTCCATTAAGAAAAAAAATTAAGAGAGAGAGAGAGAGAGAGAAAATTAAAGATTATACCATTTTATAAATGCAATAGTGATTGAAGTGGAAGGATATCGTGTCGAAAATTGAGATGGAAGGCCTCATTCTGAAGTTTATCTGTATTTTGTTTTTTTCTAAATTTTTTTTCTATTTAATTACACTATTTTTTCTTCTATGTAATCAAATTACATCTCGTTTTAGCGTTTTTTTCATAATAAATGATCTCTTGATATATGTTTACAACACAAATATAACTTTTCACTTCAAAATTTACATAATTTTTTTTAAAAAAATAAATGCTTTATTACTGTTTAATTTTTAATTATATTTTCGTTAATAGATTTTCTCGCAAAATTCCATTATTATTAATATATCGATGGAATCATTTAATGCAGGTAGATAATTCACATTCCGAGATTACATTCACATACTCTTTGTAATCTAGAAATATTTACATAACGTGATCCGTTCGTGTTTACTTTACAGAATATATTTTCAATATTTTTCCAAGGAATTTCGAAATATTTGATTGTGTTTTTATAATATTTTATATA